AAGCACGCGCCCTGGTTTCCTCAATCCCATCGAATCGAAACGAAGAAAATGCCGTAGTATCGTGTTCAGGACGAGTTACAGTTATGGTTACGAATCGTTTCAGGGATCCATCGATCGCCAGTGCCGTGTACCGCGTGTTAAGATCTCAGGTCACCTGGCGAGATAGCAGGATGAATCTGGATTTGCTGTTCAGGCACGTACTCGCCAATCAGGACGCCTGATGTATCCGCCAGGCTCTCCCGACCTAGGTCTTTCCTTTCACGAAATTGCTACCGATCGAGGCTTGACAAGGGAAGTTACTCTAGCCTTCGTTACCTCCGCAATCGTCTGCGCGATTCATAATCATTTTCGTCGACATTACGGTCCTCGTACCAGACGTTTCCAAGTTGAGAAATTTAGCGAAACCTGAGTATGTAGTCCATGTGAAATTAGAGGGTGTTTAAGTCTTTATTTTGCTGATTCTCGGCTTCCTTAAACAGTACAGGTTGTTGAAGTCGAAGTTTCCGATTTGAAGCTTTTTAGGAGAGGGTTTGAAATTTCTTCTTTTCTGGCTTTAAGATTGTTCCTCTGCAAATTTAATTTTTTAACGTTTGTACAATTGCTAGCTTCTTGAAACAGTTGTGCAATTTCCTGTGGTGTTAGAGGGAGAATTGACACAACGCAGGAGAAACGCTATCGACGTCAACGCGAGATGAATTACGCCGACGTTGACCATTGGAAGCCTCGATTGCGTTAACGACACGCGTAAACACGCGAGGCAGCACGCGCGGACGCTGTAAACGAACTGTCGTCGCTTTATGTTAACCGCGACAACACGCGACGCTCTTGTTTAACACCCACCCGTCGCGTCGGAGACGCGAAATTCAATTTGACCGTCACGTTTCTGCGCGATAAAATGCTCCGCGCATTCTTCGAGAAGGAAAAAGCAGGGTTGACATTTTAGAAAATCGTAAATGTCTCATCCACTTCTGCAGAGTGAGGTAAAAGACAGGGTGGTTCGCGCAGAAGCTCCTAGTTAAAAGGGTAGCATCAGATCTTAAAAAAATAAATAGTAACGACACTTTATTACAAGTTTAGTCTTAGCGACGTAAGCGTTGGAGTGATCCACCTTTCGAAAGGGTTCGGATTGAGAGGTTCGGCGCGACAGACGAGAGGGGGTGGATCGGCGTAGAGGCCACCGCGAATCATGCTCGACGCAGGGGAAGAAGCTGTGTTCGGTCGGTCGACGATGAAATAGGTTGACAAGGGGGAATGTTGTAAAGAGAAAACAGTCAGGCGAAAAAGCCTGGGGAAGTTTCGGCGACGTCTGACGAGAGCGAGAGGAAGGAAGGACAGGAGAAATCCCCAACGAAGAAGGAACCGAGCGAGAGAGATAAATAAAAATGACAACGCAGAAATGGGAGGAGGGGTAAACAGAGCTAAGTGAAGTTAACGACGAAGCAAGAAGAGCGGCAAAAATGACCTCGGGAAAATTACCGCACGCGAAACGGCTTAATGTCCAAAAAGACGAGCGAACGAGCAGGAGGGGGAGAAAGCTTGCAAGAGGGGCAGAGAGAGAGGGTGTAGTCGCTTAATGACCACCCTGTACATTCGTATCTTTCGTGGATGGGTTCCTCGCTTTCTTTTCCCTCGGTCTCTTCCTTATTCCCTTCTCTTTCGCCCATTCCATTCCTCCTTTCCTCTCCGACTTCCACACGGTTCCGGTAGCGGGCGCCGTAGGGACCATTATCTGTAATTGCTTTCCTTAATTCGATGCTCGTTGCCCTGCATGGGCGAACGGAAAAAAATTCATCCAACGCGTGGGTGAAAGGGGTTGAAACTCGAACGAAAGGGTGACACGAGTATCGCGTCGAGAGTTCCTCGCGAGTGGATGCGATTCGCGTCATCACTCTTCGGGCGGAATCATTCAGAGACTTCAACCCGTTTTCAATCGCATCCACGTCTCGTGCTCCTCTGAGAAAGAAAGGGCTGGAGGTTATGAAGTGTGCGACACTAGCGCCGCTTCTCCAACGCCATCTTGGCTCGTCAGGTCGCTTCCTCGATTCAGATTTCGTCCGAAAGTCCGGTAATACCATAACTTTCCCTCCCTTCCCCTCGAAGTACCGAGCACCGAGCTCGTCAGACGTTACTCTGTAAACGCGAAACGGAAAGGCAACGAAAGAACGCGGAAGATCGAGGAGGCCAGGGTATTTAAATGCCGCAAGTTTCCAAGCTAATGTCCTAATTACGCGCTAATCGACTTTCGGTCCGTTCATTAGGGAACCGGTCGTTTTAGCGATCGAGTTCCAACGAGGAGAGTTTTAATGGCGAGTAGCCGTGACTCTGCCTCCCATCTCTCTCTCGCTCTCTCTCTCTCTCTCTCTCTCTCTCTCTCTCTCTCTCTCTCTCTCTGTCTGTCTGTCTGTCTGTCTCTGTCTCTCTTGAGCCTCGAATCGAAAGATAATCAAATGCAGTCTGGAGAGGTGGATGGATACCAGAAGAGAAAGTGAGACGGAGCGAGTGGAGGGGGGTAAGTAATGGTCGTTTGTTCTTGAACGTCGGGAAGTTGATGTACGAGGAGTCGTGGCGGCTGGTAGCTCGCGCGAGGCGAGCCCAGGCCGATGTACCCGCGCGTTCCACGCTCGCTCGCATCTCCCGCTCGCAAATTGATAGACGCCGCCACGACCGTAAATCACTTTACTGACAATTGATTTGGTGCCCTCCGTTTTACCTCGTTGTAAACTCCACGCCGGCGCTGATATTTACGATCACGCGTGTACACACGACGTCGCCCAGTGACACACTGCCCGCCGAACCCGCGACAAATCTTTTACGTTTTTACAACGCGACCCTCCCGGCCTGTCCGTGACTGTCACCGTTCAGCATTTTTTCGCTGTATCAACCGTTCTTTACCACTTTTCCAGGGTCCTCGCTAGAAAATGCAAGGTACTGGATCGGTTGGAAATTTGGAAACTCTTGCTAAAGAGCATCCTTATATAGACGGATTTTGTAGGAGCGAGGCTACATGTTTGTTAGTAAGATGTCGTATCATCTTTTGTACAGTCAGTTCCATAAATATTCGTACCCTTTGTACCTGATGAAGAAATTTGTCTAAATTAAACAATAAGTTTGGACATGGATAAACTTTTCACTTGTATGTATATAATGAAAAATTGATTTGGAAACATCAAGCCTATCATTTAATTTAGACAAATTCCTTCAATAAGCACAGAGGGTATTTATGGAACTGACTATATTTTCAAAGCAGGTACTCCTGGTACACAAAATTTATCTAACTACAACAGGCATCGTCTAGGCTCGCGAGAATGCGGGGCGTATATCAGAAGGGCCATTACTCAGTCCTTGACCCAACCATAAACCACCAGCCTTCAAAACATCCTCAAAATGTGTCGAGTCTAACATATTCTCCAAAGTGGCACAACCCAGAAAAGTGACTCCGTAAAAAGTTGAAAAACTGCTTGGCAGCTCGGTAGAAAATAATTTACAAACCTGGTAAAAAGAACACCGATCTACTCACGTTCATTGGATAGTATGGTGTCATTTAAAACGTTGATCACCACATATGGGTGACAGTGGTTTTCACTGAAAAACTAAAAAAAAAAAAACGAATTTTCAAAGTTAGGCATCAAAGGAAATAAGCTTAAATAAAATTCATGAATTTTGACGTTACAACGATGAAGTTACAACAACGAATACCACGATCGATGTTTGATTCGTAGTCTCCAATAGTCTAAATAATATTTAACAAGTATTTTACAAGAATATTCGTCTGGCAGTCGACGTGGTGAAACGTCAATAGTAAAAGCGTTCCGAGTTAGTTAGCACAGGTATGGCTGTTTCCAAATTCCTGCGCGATAGTCGCATTCCTTTGAAACGCGATCGTGTACGCACATGGGTTTCCTGGAGGTGGGCAGCCTAAGTAGCGTGACATACACATACGCGTAATGGGTGTGGTGCATTCGTCTCGGTGTGTTGTCTCGGGGGTGGCGATCCGTCTTGCTTACCAGCCCGGTCGTTGACACCACCCACACGGGAACAGCTACCATCCGTTTCGAAGCCGAGGAACCCGCAGGAACCTGGTCGTAGCCACCGACCTTGCCCGTTGGGTCCCTCCGAACCTTTGTTAATCTGCCAGCAATCGGTGGCTCCGGTCACTATATCGATCAGGGTCAACCTAACGCGTTCCGTTTCTCCTCGAACGCGTTCCTTGTTCGATTAACGCTTCAGTCTGACGGGCGATTTTTCATTCTGTCGCACCGACCTTTCCCTTTCGCGCTGCTTATCTGCCGCGACGTTCAGCTGTTCCTCGCTGGAACAACATTTTTCCTGGGGCCGGTATAAATACCTGTGCTTGCGAGCAATTAGAGGGACGTCGCTTCAAGAGTAGAATCTTTCCCCGGTTACGAGCCGCTCGACCGCCATTTTTCGCGGAGAAGCGTTAGGCATGCGTGATCTTGTGATTTGATTAATGCGCGACGATTGTGATCGTCGTGATTAATCATAGGGGCGATTGATGATTGCGGTGGGAAAGCAATTAGCGATCCTGATTTATGGTTAATAGTAGTAAGTGAGTGGGATCATCAAACTTATCGATTCGTTTAATGAGTAGATTGTACGAGCATAGATTCGTATTTTTGAATTAGGTCTGGGTTAGTTGGGAGAGCAATTAGCGATCTTGATTTATGGTTAATAGTAGTAAGTGAGTGGGATCATCAAACCTATCGATTCGTTTGGCACTTGGAGAGCAGACCATATCCTAAACTTTTTCGTTATTCTGCAGCGACAGATATACGTGTTCATTGTGCACATATTCTCAGTACATTTATTTTTGTAGTAGAATAAAATGTTGAATTATAGTAAATATTCCAAAAAGGTCAGCAGCTTAGTACTCGGGAGTTTAGTTTCGAGTTCGAGTAAAGAATAATGCAATATCTACGAAGTTTCGTCGTAGTAATGTCGGGCTGACGAGTCTTGGAGAAAAATAATAATAATAGACTCACCTGTTCGTTTCTCAGCGTCGCGGTAAGTGACCTCGCTGAGGATGACTGGCTGACTCCGACCCTTGGCGTTCATGGCGTAAACCGCTACGTGGACGCCCGCCTCCACCGACGCCTCCAGCCCCGCCAGGGAGAAACTCGGCTCGTCGGTGTTCGAAACGTTGTAGAGCGGCTGGCTGCTCGACAGGAAGTCCACGTCCCCGTGGTACACCTCCAGGATGAATTTTTGCGGAAGCCCGCCGTCGTAGCCAGCCACGCATTTTACCTCGACGCTGGTGTAAGTCTGGTTCGCGAGCGTGCAGTTACGTACCGGAAATGGCTTTCCTGGAAACGAGAAAACGTCAACCACGATTAAACGGTAGCCACGTAATTCGCAGACGTCGTTTAAAATTCTTCTTTTGATCAGCCATTAAAACGACCTCGATAACCTCGACGACCTCGACAACTTTTGCCAGAGTATAGAGGATTAGCTTCAACTTTGGTACTATGTTTTAGTTACTGCGACGTGTTATAAACAGAGGAGGTGAAAAGAGTAGAATTGCTTTCGCGTATATAAGCAGGGTCATCGATTGTTTCAACTCTTAGCTTCAAGAGATCTCTAGAACTTGACGCACGTTAAAATTCAGTCTCTTTTCTCAATCTAAAGTGTGACGACCGAAGAAGCCTATTTAAATTTATTTACGACATCTGCGCACAACCCTCTAGAGGCCTCAAAGTTTATTACAAAAGCCAAGGCGTACCAGTACTGAAATCAGACAATTCGTAGTGCAAAGGGATAAAATACCCAAAAGGACCCAGGGTTTACGAAATCTAATGGTGGTCGCAGGGATCGATCCGTGCAGTTTCGAGGACTCCCGGAGCTGTTTCGCCGCGAGGAAAAAGTTGACGCTCCGGAAGTTCCCGAATATTAAAACGACTCGGCGCGTGAAATTGCTTCGTAAAGGATTTCAGTCTTGGCTGGCTCTTTAGAACGTTACGATTGTATACGAACAGGGCCCGACCGCCGCCGGTTGCTCGCCCCTTTCGCTCCGCAATATTCCACGGTTACTTTGTGCGTAATCCCTGCGCTGGAGGCGAACGTTCGCGAGCTGTGCAAGAGGAAAAGCGCCTCGTCTCACGCAGAACCTGCGCGTCCAGACGCTCGCCTTCTAACGATTATTATCATGGCTTTAGCCGGCCTCTGGACGACCGACGAATCAAACGAACTACGAAAATCATTTCCCGCGTTTGTTCTTTGTCGTCGAATGCCGCGCCGAAAGCTGGTTGCCCGCTGGGCGATCAACTCTGTTTGCCGCTCTTACGACAAAGCAACGGCGAATTATGTTAGGGCAATAATAGAACAATGGAATCGTTGTTTACGGTTGCTTTGTGTGGACTTTGTAGGAACTGTTCAATCTTGTACGTTGGCGAGCATTCAAAGTGTTTTAACTCGCTTAGCATTCTTTTTTCTGGGCTTGAACGCATAGAAGCTGTTAAGTACGCGGTGGGGGTCCTGCGTATTCCGTGGCGTATTCGCTATTTTGTATTGCGGTTATGGTAGGAGAAGGAGGGAGAGGGATTGTGGATATTGCTATTATGTGTATGATTACACAGGAAGCCTTTTGAGCAGATTATGAACTTGTCTATGATAATATTTACTCCCTATATATTGAATATATTAAAAAACAAAATTATAAAGGAATCGAGGTTACCCTTAATCCTCGAATGCTTAATTCGGCCAGGGGCGATAGATCGGTCGGTAAGAAATCTCCAGGCTGTTCACGATTTCTTCTTTCCTCCTTGTTATCGCGCAGGCTCGTTTGTCGTCCTTTGTTCAGTAATATCTCCCGGATACTTTGGCTCGGACGCTCCACAGGTTGGCTGAAAGCGCGCGAGGGAGTTCTCTGGGAATCACGCTCGGCCTGGGCCCCCGTTGAAAAATGTTTGCGCGTCTACGAGTGGCAAGGATTTAGTGTACCGGGATAGTAATGGTCACAGAGATGTCCCAGGATCTTTTTCTTCTTTTCGCTCGCCCTCCGCCCGATCCTCGCCCTCCCCCTCGTCTCGGACCCAGCGCTGATGCAGTTTGCGTTCTACGAAAATTCCTTTTTCTCTACCGCCAGTCAAAGCTCGGCGTCGCAGTCGTGATTCGACGCCGGATTCCACGACGCCCGGGCGTCCCTGCCACGTCTCTCGACGCTATTTTTCTTTTCCTTCCACTTTTTCTTTTCGCCCTCCTGACTGGCTCGAAATATAATTTCCTTTTCTTTAAACAGACAGCGAAGCTATCGTGCGGCACCAAGCGGCGAGGAGAAAATAAATATTGTTCGCCTTTTCCGTCGGCGCAGCGGGGGGAAAGCGTATCCCTCGGTCCCCCGCTTTTATTTCATTTCGCGTCCCTCATCCTTCTATGGCTTCTTTGTTTCTCCTCTCCTGGAAACCATTTACAGGACCGTGGCGAGGCCGGAGAGGCCACCTTGCGGCCAGAGATTGCCGAGATTCCGAGAATAACGGGTAGGCAAGGTTTTACTCGTTATTTGTCGAATAAAAAGGAGAATTAAAGTCGCAGGATATTGTATCTCGTCCTGAGGTTGCATATTATATCTCCTCCGTCGTTGGTCTTTGAATACCATCTTAACTACTTTAACGTTTCATACACCGGTTGCAAAATATTCTTGTTCAGAAATTTCGTGCCAATTTTTAAGAAAAATTTAAAGGCACATTTGAATTTTGATATTTATATCTATTGAATACATAGGTACCATTTTGTTTCACAAGCTTTCCACCTTTTAAAGGGATGTACACATTTTATTTGTCTTCAACCATTCCGATATATTCAGATCTGTATCACCTACCAAAACTCGACATGGACTTTCCGGACAAACCAATAATGTCATTTTTAATATCAATCTATCCTTTCCTATTTTTGTCTACCATTGTCCTAGGGTGCCAGGATTCCTAAATACAATCCTGCGTATTTACACAGGGTGCTTTTTCCACGGGTTCCTCTCGCGTTAATCGCCGACCCGCTCAGCGTTCGAACCTCTCGGTTACTCGAAAAGATATATTGAATTTTCCAACGGTTTCATCCCCCGTACCCCACACGCCCCCGACGTCGTTCAATTTATTTTCATCCAGCGCGTAATATATGTACGCGGTTCCTTGGCGGCTGTGGTAGGGCTTTTTTGTTCGACGTCGATTGAAAATTCTGTTCTCGATAAACTGGCCTCCTTCTTTTCAACATATTCCAATGGCCGGCATGAAAAATGGAAACGTCAAACAGCGGCCGCTGCATTTTTCACGAGGCTGTTTTCAGCTGTCTGGACTCTGCTATTTAATGAACACTGCTTCGTGTTCTTCTATTTAATCCTAAACAATTCGACCCACCTCCACATTCCGCGATCCACCCCAAAAATAAATTCGAGATCCTCATTGACTCAAAAGAGCGTTCGAGGATACTGGAAAAATCGATTTGTGCATTTTCTTCTAGCTGAAAAATTCATCTTAAAAAGAGTCAAGCTATAAATGCATCGGATTTAAAATTTTGTCTATCCTTGGCTTCGGAACGAGACCTTCGGACGGGTTTCTATTTCACGAGTTCTTCCCTTAGGAGACCCCTTTAACTGTTTTCGAACGCGCCGTCACAGTCGTGACCTCCTCTCGTCGCAGCTTCCGAATACGCTTTACCGCCGACGCAATACTCGATATCGATAACGACAGACTTGAAAATAAAATTTCGTTCCGTCAAGAGTCGCTTTTCGGGTCGCTGCGGACGAAAGAGACTCGCCGCGATGCTTTCGTTTGCGACGTCGACGACTGAATCGACGAACGACCAACCCAATACCCTCGATTTTACTCCCAGCTTTATGTTGCCGCAGAGAATCGGGAACGCTGCGACGAGCGATGTGCCATAAGTCGCTGCTATGGTTTCGCGTTCCAGGAATGAATTGGAAAGCATTGTTATTTGGAATGGTTCCGATAGCTGGGATATCCAAGTCTGGGATAGTCGAACGCTTTGTGTGTTTTACTTTTTGAATTAGAAGCGTCTCGTGTGTTGAATGCTTAGGGTCAATCAGAAGGTATGTATTTGTAATGCTAGGTTATCCAACTCGTAGAGTGTTTTAGATATTTAGAGAGTCGAACGTCTCGAGTATTTAATTCTTAGACCAAAAGGCGTCGAGTGCTCAATTTTTAACCCAAATATGGCACTATGATCTTCGTAGCAGAAGACGAGAGTTGCAACCACTGCTTTCTCCACTCGTCACGCGCTGAACCGTCTATGCAGATAGAATTTTGCCTCGAATTTAGCACCTTTTGTTCGCTGGTTAATTTATTATTCGTCAGGGGAAAAAAGCAGACGTGGAGCGAATGAGGGGGCGAGCCAGCGAGACGAAAACGACCCCCAAAGGCGGGGAACGCGTCGATTGGAGCGAGCGCGTACGTCCGGTGTGTATTCGTCAACGTCAACACGGTTTCGGCAGGTCGTCGCGTCAACGTCATTCTCGATCATGCGAGGGGAAAAAAGACGATGCGGTGTTCCCGCGCCGCGGAAAATCCGCTCGCGGATTAACGTCGAGTTTACCACGCGATGATTGGTCGCGTCGCATTGTACGCGCGGCGATAATTCCAGAATATCTGTCAGGATTTTGAGCGTTCGTTCCCCTGCATGTCTGCCTCCTCTGACGAAATCATGGAGCCTTTTGGAAAATGTTTCGCAGCGGAACAAACTGGGACAGTATTGATATTTTAATTTGAATCTGGCAAGGCTCGATTATAGTTATTTCGATTTGATATTAATCCAGAATTGGATAGTTTTGGAACAACGAGAAGCTTAGTCGAATTCCCATTCGATGACAGAAGCAGCTACGGAAACGGTAGGAATGAGATTTACCAATTCGAAAAGTAGCGATGATAATTTGTTTCGAATTCAACAATTATCAAGCCAGTAATTAACTCGATTTGCTCTCGCGTATGTCGTGACCGTATCGAAAATACGGGGTAAATATGGCCGTTCGAAATGTTTGCCGATGCAGTTATTTCAGGAAGGTTAAATATATGTGATATTTTCCATTGAATCTAATATTGGCCCTCGGGCAACGTTTCTAATATTTAATATGTTTATCAGTCCCGGCGAGCAAATGAGAACTATGAGCTTTGGAATCCTCTTCAAATTTCGCGATTGTTGAACTTGTCAGAATTAATTTTAAAATAGAAATAGAGCTTCACGAACGATTATATATTCATCCGTACGGGAAAATTGTTATTTTAAAAACCCATTATGAAATTCAAATCCACTCAAATCCACAAAAGATCATAGGTGGAACTTGTATTTCTAGCATTCGTCTAATCGAGATAATAAATGATTTTCGATAGAGGACACTTAATTTCCCACTGCTCGCGTAACAAATGACTCTGACGTTTCGATAAGAGCGCAGAGTAGCAAACCTACACCCTGGCGTTTCGAAACTTACATATTCCATAAACATACGCGTAAGTAATGGCTATTCGAGCAAAAAAGGCAATGCATGAGTCACTCGAGGGCTCGAGAGGGTCGTTGCTCCGCGGCGACACGTTGAGGTTGATTAACGATCGCTTTTCGACTAATTGGAAAGATCTGTAGGGGGCACGGGAGAATCTCGGTCTCGAAAGGGTAAATATTCGAGGCGTTAATAGTCTCGGTGGTTTGTTTCGTGCTCGAGGGTGCCAGAAATGCGTCGGTCTCTGAATAATTTACGCACGAAGGACCTGCGAAGTGGAGCAACGCGCGGAGGGTTCTTTCCCTCTTGTTTTTCTTCTGTTACCACTCTGTGGGTCCTTGTAATGGAAACGTACTATTATTATTACGATTACGATTATTATTATTGCTATTCGCGCGAGGCGAGAGCGTATCCTCGGAGGGATGAGAACAGAGGAAGAAAGAGCGAAGTTAATCAAGTAATTATCTACCTTTGCATTTCTTCCCTCGCTCCTTTCTTTATGTTTACCTTTCGTTTAATCTTTTTGAAAATCTTTCTATTGCTTCTCCTCGCTCTTATTTCACGTCGCAGTTTAAACACTGTCTCAAATACAATGTTTACCCTTCGTAACCTTCATACCGGTGTTACTTCATCGATTTCTCTTTACACTCAATTCTATCCCGATCGAGACGCACGATGAAATGCAGAGGGTTCGTTTTTATCCCCGATCGGAGATGTTACGCAATGGAGGGTTAACCTGCGCCTCCCTCCGTCGCGTTCCAACTGGTTGATCGCGGGAAAGCTCGGTCTGTCGACCGCAAAGTGTCGTGTTTGCAAGCTCACGGATGGTCGAAATGTAACGCGGAAGGTCATAGTTTCGCCAGCGTAAACAGGCTCGTTTCTGCCGGCAGAAAGGATTTTAACTCGATTTCCTGACCGCCGCGCTCGGTGGAACTCGAGGCGGGCCGCCCGAACCCGTCGAGAGGCGCGGTGTGACGTTTACCGAGATCCTGGTAAATACTCACCGGCGGGTACCAGCTGGAAGAGACACGGTCTCGCCTGTGTACCGACGAAATTGTCCGCCCAGCACGACACTGTGCCGTAATCCAGCTCTTTGTTCGGCGTGTACCTCAGCACGCTCACGCCGCTCGACTTCTCCACCGAAAATTTCCCAGGCGGTACATCCTGCGTCTCCCCACCGCTGTTGTTGAATTTCCATCGGAAATTGTGCGCCGGCGGATCGGCTTCCACTCTGCAGGCGATGTCCAGCGATTCGTCCTTAGAAGCGCCGACCACGATGATCCGGTCCTCCTTGCACACCGGTGCGACTGAAACACAACCGATTATCCGTTAATGGGATCCTGTATCGATCCTTTCGTTTGTTTTTTTTTTTTTTTTGGATCTTGGGAGGGAAAGTAACAAGCTAGTAGACAGGCTATAGGGTGATGTTTGGATTACAGGACTTTAGCGTAGTCATCGAATTTTTGGGTAGTCGGACGACATAGGGTTGAGAGTTAGTATTTCGTGCAATTATTTGTAGTAAGAATTTAAAAAATTGTACGTAGATACAGTCAATATTTATGGGACTGACTGTATATTTTATATATTTTGCATGAAAAAATGAATCGAAAATGTAGAGTGACATTTTTCAATACGCCGCTTTGTTCTCGAGAAGACTAATTCCAAAGTACGCACGGTACTTGTCTGATTATTACTCGATGTTTCTATTTATTCTACTGTATGCAAGCATTGACGACGTCTGATGAGAGTTGTTCACGCATACGAACATGCAAGTGTATTAAGAATATTTCCTACGTATTCTACATGGAAAAATAAGACGAAAGTGTCGAGTTGAACTTTTTGGTACAGGACCTTGTTTCCGAGTTTGAAAATTGTAAAAGTACGCGTTGAACTGAGCACTCGTCTGGCGCGTCTGACCAATGGCCGATGTTTCTACTTATTCTTGTGCTTATAATTGTATGTATATACAATTATAGAATCCAATCAGATGGGTGACTAAAATTAATGTTGACGTCTTATAATAAACCTTCTTCAGAATGTTCCAAATATTCCATCCCCATTTTTGGTCATTTAAAATTGAAATTTGTCGCATAAATAATAACTCGTTCTAAAGATACAGAACGAAATAAGCCAATTTCAGTCGAACCATCACGCATCATGTCCAAATTTTAGAAACACAAAGTTTTACCGATCTTAGTCTTTTCCAACGTAAAAAGATATACGATTCGTGAATTGTGGAGACGTCACTTTGATGACAGCATCAAGAGAATTCGAGAATGATCGCGCTACACCGGAACTCGTATATGATACATTCTTCCGGCTGAAGGATGCTCGAGAACGTGGGGGCGTTTATTCGCGTTCCCGTCTCGAAAATTTTCGGAGCACGCCTCGCAGTTTTATCACAAGGGGACTTTTGCTCGGATGAAATCGTTTCGCGACTGATGCAAAAAGATTCTCCACCTGCCGTCCCACGTTCACGGCGATATATGTATATACATCTCTCCCAATTTATCTGCTTTTGCTATCTCTCCTTGCATTCGTCTCCCCTTTCACTTTGCGGTATAAGAGAGATAAATAGATGGACGTATCTGATCGGGTCGAAAAAAGATAAAAGGTTTCTGGGACGTGCACGGAAGTAATATCGCCGAGTGACGAAACAGGGTCGATGCTCGACCGAGTAATTTAACCGACCATACAACAACGACCATCGAAAGGACGCGCATTTCCGCGAAACAAAACTTTTTACAGAGGGTACGCTTTCTCCGAGGATTTCTCTCAAATTTCTATCGTTTTCCTTTCTTTTCCCTCGAATTTCTCGAGTCAAAAGTTTCCAACTCTACATTCCTCCTCGTGCTCCCATTGTCTGAAACATTTCTCTCCTTCCTCCATTGCGACGGAATTAATTCAAATTCTACGCTTTCAGAAATCTCCGTTGAATTACACGGGACCAACGATTATTTTACATATACTTTTTATGTATTCCTTCAAAAGGGTATTGTTTCTAAAAAAAACATAGTACCTTCGCTGTCATTTTCCAAATGTTTTTCGACTTGAAAATATTTATATTATTGTACGCTACTTGATTATTCTTGGTCTCGGGGAAAGGATAACACTGTCTTTATTTAGATGGCTCGAATTCGGAACGAAGAGAAGACAGCGATGGGAAATGAGATCATGTCTTGGAGGGGCGAGACGAAAGAGTCATGGCAGCAAAGAGACAGAATCGTGCCTTGAAAGCAAAGAGTCCTCCTCCCGGTACGGAAGATATGGCCTCGTTTACGAGTTAAGGCAATCTTCGAGAACAATTTTTTAGAGCTACCTCCGCGTCGAAGGATCCCTATCGCGATGGGCCATGGTCATTCGAAGCAAGAGTGACGGAAACGAGGCTCGTTTTTCGCTCGTTTGTCAACGTTCAATTCGCTTTCATTCGTTTTCAAAGGATTCGCCCATCGTCGTCGGGTTCGAGTTGAATTCCCGCAAAATCAATGCCGCATAGCGGTTAGCTTATTGCCCCCTCTCCCCGTAGCCCTGTTTTTTTTTGTTCTTTTTCACCCTTGACAAAAGTCCCGTGTTGTTTGCCACTCCTTTTATTTAGTTACCGCGCGCAATTCAGTAAATGGCAGTTGACGTCAAGCTTTGAGTACAAAAGCGTCATCGAGCGATACAGTTCTTTCTCGTTCAACAGCTTTTGTGCGATTCGATTGGTCGACGCGAAAAAAAAAAACGCTCACTCGGCGCCACCGAAGGCACGAAGGAATTAATTTGCAAAATGTACCCATCCGAGGCGCCCGGACAAATAAATATAAGAGGATCCGCAAATAGACGTCCACTCGGCGAAGTTTCGTTTACGCGCACAATGAACCGGTCGACGAAACGTGCACAAAGCCACCATAATGTTCGTGCTATTCGCGATGAATTTTTCAGAGAGGAATTTAATTCTCTAATATAATTAAAAAAACGGTCTGGTTCAGGATTTTGAGAATTTTTCCTTGACCCGAATGATTTAGTTTCTTTTAACGTGAAATTAATATAAAATATCGCAATGGAGATCTGTACAGAAGAGAGGGGGCTTGCGTTAAGTCTGGCACTATAAGCAGGGTTCGATCGGGCGAAAGAATTTATGGCAACGGCCGCGCATCGTTTTTTTTTTTTCGCATGAAAATTAACCCCGTCGAGGAAATGCGACCGTCACGCTCGTTTTCCACTGTAATTAACGCGCGACACCGTAAACATTCGTCGTACGTCCGCTCGCCTAGGGCCTGAAATTCGAAATTAACGACGAGAATCGCCGAACGCGACACCGCGATGCGCGCTTTTAAATAGCGTGTATGAAATTTAATTATCACCCGTGACAGCGGCCATTCGCGAAGCGGAACGGTTTAAGCTGGCCCGTGCCCTATGATTTTCCACCCCTTGCGTCATCGAATTTTTTTTCCTGACCGCCCACCGTTTCATTCCCGTCAAAGTTGGAATTTTCTGTCAATTTGAAAACCGATTCGTATCGTAATTCTCAATTATTGTGATTTTTGTTTGAGCGAATATTATGATGCCGCTTTGTGCATCGAATTTTGTAAATTGAAGCGAACTTACTGTACAGGACAGATAACAGACTGCGATATAATTTGTAAATTAAAAAATTCAGGTAGACATACAGTCAGTCTCATAAGTATTGGTATTTTCAATATCTAGTAGGTTCTGAAAATTACTTAAAACTGAGAGTCGAAAATCAGTAATAGCGTTCGTTCAAAGCTAAACTAATGCGAATCCCTATCACTTGAATTCCGAAGAATTGATTTAAGAAGATCATTTACTCCATAGTCGAACAAATAAACCACAATAATCAGTCAAACTACCACGCCGAGAACGGTTCAATCCTCAGCCCGTTCGAAACCTGTGTCCGACCAGGACGTGACGATTCTACTTGCGGTGTTGGGAAAGTCTCGTTAGAGTCTCGATCGGAATTGATTTAAATCCCACGTTCGCCAGAAGGAAACCTCATTTCTGAATGGACGTGAATAGCCTAAAGCAAATGTCATTTCCAGGAGCGGGGCGGCGATGTAATAACCGAGAAACTAAATCCAGACACGAGATTGACTTCGATTCGAGAAATCCCGCGAGAGATTGCTGCTTATCCTGGCTCGTTTCCTCGACCTTTACGAGGCCGTGACGAGCCGTGGTTAAATACCGCGGGCTCGTGTGCCAGGGTTGTTTTCACGGCGCATCCATATTCGATGTGTCGGAAGCGCTCCAACGACGCCCGGCGTCAGTTCGTCGCTCTTGTTTTTACGATTTCGCGTTAACGTTCGACTAGAACCCGCCTAAGTGGCATCCAGCGAGTAAATGACGTCTGGAATTGATAGCAATCTAGATGGGTGTCTCGAGTGGTCGTGGCTGTTTATGAGTGTCGCGACGATTAAAATATTATTTCTATGTAGTTCCGGACAGTGAGTAGTTTATGGTATTTAAATTTTACGCGAAGTGTTTCATCCGAGGGGTTATTATTTTCGAAATGTATCAATTTACAGAGTCGATTTCCAGCCTGATTCTATATCTCCACGAACGTAGGATGAAGGGGTTAGGACGAGGACTAGGATGGACCCGTAAAATATTCATGGTTTTAAAAAAAATTAATTGCAGTGGAATTGCACGTTCGAAAAGTTCGTACTCGCGGCACATGAATATACATTATTTGCAGTATTTTTATTTTTTCTCGAAAGCTGATTGTTATTCAAAATGGCAGCGACGACAAGAGTGGTGTTTTTCCAAGCCCATGACGCTGTGGATGATTTCTGAACTGAATTTCAATTCTGAAAAAATACTCTTGTTTGTGAGCGCTCTCGTACTTTCGAAATTGCAAAGGGAAGGCCAGATCACCTCGCATTCTATTCGAATAATCGCCATGAAAAATTGTGTAATAGCTACACCCTAGTAATTGAGCGATACTTGTCGAGTATGTCGACTTGCTGGCTATCGATACTGTTAAGCATCGCAAGCAGGGCCCTTCCAGCGGAAAAAGAGTGATTCTCGCACAGTCCCCTTTTAAATCTGAGATATTCAATTCGTACATCGCGGGTAGAAATCTCGTGCTCCTCGAGACCGCAGTGCAGTCGGTGGTTCGCTCGGCGTAACCCGGGGAATTGGATATCAAAAATGTAGCTAGAACTAAGTACGCCTGAAATATTCAGCCAGAACCAAGATCCTCGGTCTATCCGCCTCGGAATAAATACACGAACCCCTTACGTATGGCAACCGTGTATATATCGCACGGTTGGCGCGTCGGTGAATACTGGGCTCGTTATGCGGCACCATGGAAAATCCTCGATTAACTCGGCTCGATTAAAATAAACTACGCCCAGCCAGGGCGATCGTTGAAACTTCTCGTCGTGCGTTACTCACATTTCACGCGAAAATGAAGTGGCTCGCTCCGCGTTTCGTTCAGGTCATTCGTCGCTGCGCACACGTACTTCCCGGCGCTGCTCCTCGTCACGCTCTGGAGCACCAGACTCTGATTCGACCAGATTATCCTCGCAGACGTGTTGTGCGCCAGTATCTGGTTCTGAAAATAACAATTCAGTCGGTTAAGCTGCGTTAATCTTTATTATTCAGGAAAGTGATTATATACATAAAAAGTTATGATTATATTAAGTGCTGCTGCGACACTTTACCCTCTGGACTCGAAGTCGAATAACAGGGCGTTTTTCGCGGCAAACAGAAAAGAAATAAGATATAACGAAACCCGGTTCTATATCTGGCCTAATTAAACGTTCTATCGCGCACTTTGGAAAGTCCTTGCCGTTTCCTGGCTCGACGACGTCGACTTTTTTCGCTGGGTTCCGTTGGTGGTACGCTGTCATGTTAATTTGTCCAAGAGAGCCCGAAATTCCTGAACCAAACGCATTCGTTTTGTCTGTCTGTTACGCGGGACAAAAGGGAAACGGGTACAAAAGATAATGAAACGTGGCGCTCTTTTCATCCGGTTTGATTAAACAACTAAGTGCACCGTTGGTATCGTCTTCAGTCGTGGAGGAGGGCTGATAAGCCGTCAGCCGCGTCTTCCGACCCCCTCGTCGCGCGTTGTCAATCCTCACAAAGGAAACGGCGAAGTCAAAGGATCTAAGGTAATAAAGAATACCGCGTTATTGTTCGGTCGACCAATACGACACGGGAACCGTTGCAATCGCGAGGCGTTAACTAACAAGACGAGGGCCCCCTTTGTAACTTCACGGGATCTCATCCTCCTCCGCAACGGATAAATTTGTAATAAAGACGCGACCCGTGACATCTTTGATCGTAAAACTTATCGAGCTTACTTCTCCGAGGTAACGTGCTCGCAATAACAAGGAATCTATCCGTTTTATTCTAGCTGGGGGCGCAATCCCCTCGAGGGTCCGTCTAATATCCGAACTGCGAAGAGGAAGGGATGTTGTTTTCTTGATTCCATTGCGAGCGCGAAAGAGGCTTTCTAAAAATACGCTCGAGCATTAATTTCGCAAGGGAAAGAGTGGTAGCGGTGGGTGATAACGTGACCAGCACCGCATCAGTCAGGAAGACGTCACCGAGGGACAGCCAGGGCGCATGTTTATCGTTAATTTATCTCGAACCTCGAGTGAAACGAGAAATGAAATCGCGTACCGAATCTCGCGCGAGTTCTGAACGTGAAAGAACCGGATCGAAGCCGACCGAGTGCTCGACGAGTGCGTGCAACTAATCGTTCCGCAAATAAAGAGATGCCGAGGGTTGTTCGACCCGACGCGACGTTACCGTTGGCTAACACCTTCGTGCGCTCATCTAGATGCACTGATTATTATTATTGTTCCTTTTAAATACACATAGGGCTCCTTTTTTGCGAGTAAAGCGATGAATTGAGTCTAAAAAAATTTATTCCCTTTCCTTTTAACACGATCGTATATACCTTGTATATTATATATAAGAATTGTACACAAAAAATGGAAAACGGTCGCTCGACTTGTCGTGGTAGGTTTAGCGTTAAATGTGGTTGAGTGGCTCTTAGAGTTCGAGACACTCTTGAAACAATGTTGAAAGAATGTCAAGTCTGCAACAATAATCCAACCAACGACGAATGCTCGAGCGGAGTGAGATTACAAAACAATCGAGCAAACGCACCCTCGCGTTCGGTGGGAACGAAAACCGAGGACGGGTCGAAGAAGGGTCGAGAAACAGTGAAGGACGAAAGTCGAGAAGAAATCTTGATCTGCTCTGTCATTCCGCGCCACCTTCTCCGAGATTCAAATGGCCTCGTTTCGAATCGATTTCGAATTATCTTCGGCGAACGGATTCCGTCGAAAGGGGGGGATAAAAGGAGAGTCGGTGTAATGGAGGAAACGGTCGGGAGAGAGGAAGAAAAAGCTGTGTACGGAGAGGCAGACGAAGGGACGAAGCGAGAAAGACCACAGGGACTTTCATCGAGGAAAGGGGAGAACGTTTCGAGGGTAGACAAAGAACGAGTTCGAGGAACGTCGCTCGTCCGATTAAACAGACGCGGCTGCATTTGGCAATGTCTTGGCCCGGCTAGCAAGCCGTGTCCCAGTTTTATCTACTTGTTGGCTCTAACCCTTGCCAGGCTGCTGTCCTTATTTGCGAACGAGGCCCGCGATAGCCCTTTCGCGACTAATTGAAACGCTGCTTGACAGGATTGCGGGGGAAACTTTTCAACGTGTAGGGCCTCAAATCTAACAGGCCCCATCCGTTTTGGTTCTCGAAAAATGGAGTGTCGAAAAGTTCGTTTTTCTTCAAATCGCTATGACTTTTTCAATTCTTCGTGTTCTCTTTCGGAAACTGGTATAACCCCAGCATAAACTATCCAACTTGCGCAGAAGATAATGTAGAAAATGGAAAGAAAAAATTTGTTTCCTCTATTTCATGGATGCCTCGTTATATTCCAAGAAATATCTTCTGGGAATTATTAATGGTTTTCAAAAAAAAAAAAAAAAAAAATGGAAATTCATGAAAATCACCTGTTTTTAAAGCTGTTGCACTGGAATCACCCCTTAAGTGCAAGTGGGCTCGCAACGAGATCATCCGAATCTCGACGAAGGTGGCGCGGAATGACGGAGCAGATCAAGATTTCCTCCCCCTTTTCGTCCCGGTTCCATTCATCCCCTCTTTACCATTCTTTGGTCCAGTTCAGCACGGTTTTAGTTCCCTCGAGCGCGGGGGGTGGGTTTGTTCGATTGTTTTGTAATCTCATCCCCGGTCTCGTCGCTCGAGGATTCTCCTCTCCAGCGTGTCTTTCCTTGGCTAGGTATCGACGGAGAGACACTTAATTACTCGCGAGCGATTGAACGGTATCGAGGAGATCGGTTCGACTCGGTGTACCACCGGATCGGTTTCCACCGTGATAGCCTCATTGTTCCACGACGACGAATTCGGTACGAGTTAACCCTCCAGTCGCTGACGGGTCTTTTGTGACCCTGCACGAGAGCCACGGGTTTAGAACGCATTCCATTCAATGCACTCTAGTTGGAGACTAGTTTTGTTAATATATTTTTGGCAAAATATACGCCGTTAGACGACAATTTTTGTAATAGCCATCGTCTCAACGGGACGCCATGTTTCAAAGGCTTAAACTATCGAAGGTGTAATTTTCCAATAATCCAGATTCATGGAATATCGAGGATCAAGTAATATAAATTCATTCATAAATCATGTGTTAGAATATGCACTAGAATATCCTTTGTAATGAGAAGAGCTCGTAACCATTGATTCCAGCATGTCGGATCAAACATCTAAATGCGATTATACTGGGAAATGTTAAAAGAACCCCTGACCGACCGTCCTCGGGCATCGAGAAGGCGCTAACTCAATTAAGATACATTGTAATCTATGCGACTAGGCAAGGAGGTTTAGCCCGCTTAGCATAGGTTAAGCCACGGTTAAGACCAGGGGTTTATCTTCGATTTACTCGCTCGAGAAGACTCGTTAAACGTTATGCTTCGTTAAGAAGCTCGGAAAAACTTGGAAGAAATACCGACAGCCGTCGACTCTTCTAGGTGGGCGAAACTGTTCATTTTCAAGGTAATTCATAAGGAGAAATGAACTTTTGTACGCTCTTCTTAAACTTTCTTGCAGAATTTTGACACGAGGAACCGTGAAGAGTCGATATTCATTCAATTAAATCGTAATTTTTGTTCCTCTAAACCTGATATCATATATCACCCAATGTATTTATCTATTTAAATTTTGGCAAGGCTCTCTTGGTGGCCCAGCTGAGAAGTTCTGCTATTCCTGCACCGTCCTTATCTGGAGCCCTCAGTCCATCTTCCCTCAGCTTTGAACGTCGAAATTTTCGATTCACTCTCCAGGAAATTCTAAGAAGTCAGTGTTCGCAGTTCGGTAGATACGAAATCGATATATCGAAGATCGGTTGCGTACCCGAGATTTGAGACGGCCGCAAAGTTTCACATTTCCACCCCAGTGGTTGGTTGCCGTTTGCCTTTTCCCCCTTTACGACGATCCCCGTAGCGTTTTCGTCGCTTCCACCAGCCAGAAACGAAACTATGATACCCTTTGTTTTCGTTTGTCCGTTCTCACGAACTAGTTTTGCGGCTGGCCGTGTCTGATCAGCGACGTCCCAATTTACTTCCTGCGCTCGTCGCGCGGGAATTAAAATTTGGTGGAACCTTGGGCTATAGGTGTTGTAGGACCGTTTTAAGTATACTTTTAGAGGGAAAAGGAAGGAGAAAAAAATTAAATCAGACATTGAGTATTCTGACTATTTTAAACACGAAACGTATAATAAGGACCTAAATGCGCCAGTGTTAATAAGGATTCCGTCGCAGAATCTGGTTCGATGTTATTGATTCGATTTTCTATCGCGGTTTCTCCGATAAGCTAGCCGGTCCTTTGATCGCTGTGCTGAAGGATTTTCCTTCTACTAATCAGGTTTGACCGGAGTAAACGAGGATCGACTAACTTCCTCGTTAAGTCCATTGTGCAAGGGTGGACACCTGCTCGCCGTGTCCTATCAGTCGCCCGCTGTTAATTAAATCATCAGGCTTAACCAAAACCTCATCGACGGCTAATTTTGTTTAGCCCTTTTCTCTCTGTTTGCACTAGCCGACCGATGATCCATTAAGGACCTTCGTTGCGCGCGACTGCGATCGATGAACCGCGTGCATTTCCTACGGACCACTTTCTATTGCAAATCGTCTAAGTTTGCTGTCTAAGCATTTGTTTGTGCCTCGCGTGAAGTTATTTTTTTATTTCTCATCCCTTCATCAGCAAGATCTTTTAAACAATTCTTGTATCTTCATTTTGCGCATCATAATTTTGTTCATTCCATACGATTTCAGTTTCGCCTTCTGGAATTAAGTTATTGCGTGTATCTCATTGTTAACGCCAAGTAAGATGAGTGAATAACAAGTAAGCTCCCGGAGGGGCGATCAATTACAGAGATTTCCGCGAGTCGAGTATTTTTGAGGGTGTGCATCGCGCGCTCAGAGGGGCCTCCATATTGATATTTTCTCCCTCTTTAGTTCCAAGTTGCGCGAGGCTCTAAGTTAGACTCTCGGTTTGCCGTAAGTAGAAGCTACGAGT